ATATTCTTAGTTCACTCAACTATCATTCCATCATATTCATAATCACGTATCCATACACACTTCATTCGCAATTCGCATATAATACTTCAATTACTCATAAGCAATTGTATTCTCATTTAGGCATTATTACTTATTAATAATCCATGAAGATCACATTTAAATACATTAGGTAATCTTATGAAATTAACCCAAAGATTATAAACAACATAGTCAGCCATCCTCACCTTATGAAGTGCTGAAGTGGTTGCCTTTGTTAAGCCCTTCGATCAATCCCCGTTCCAAACCGATTGGAGATGAAATTTCTGGACAGCAGCCAAAAGCCGGGCGGCTTTCACAAAAGCCGGGCGGCTTTCGTGGTCTGCAGCTACGAACAGCCTCCTTCAAGTGGCGGTTTCCGATGGTTTTGGCTCCTATCGATTCCCCAACTCTTCTAAGTTAATTACCACCACTTTATATCAATATTATACACTTTTAAACGTGTATAAACTCATGTTTAATCCACCATATGATTTCTTAAAAAATCATACAACAAAAACTAGTCAAAAGGTAGTAGTTGTGTTCTTACCTCTTCTTCTAGCTAATTTCCCTTGGATTCTCTATCCTTCTCCTTCCTCTAAGCTTGCTGGTTGTGTGAGCTCTTCCAAGGCTCCCTTATCTCACTCCCTAGCTCGTATGGTGTAGAATGCAAAGGTGGAGGTATGTTATCTCAACCAAACACCAATTTGAGGTGTAAATGAGTCCATAGGGAGTGTGATTGTGCTCTCAATCATCCCCTCTTTCCTAAGTCCGCACCAAGCATTTTTAGTTGTCCCCCTTCCCATTATTTGTGACTAGGAAGCTTGTAAAATATCCCCAAGTGGGTGTAGGAAGTTCCTCCCAATTATTCCTGCTATTTTTGGCAAGTTGGGCCAAAATAGTACTTGGGTTGTCCAAACATTTTCCTCAACTTTAGTTGGCACCTTATTGGGCTTCTACAATTTCCACGATGACCCAACTATATATTTGGTAGCCCATTCTTGTTAGTACGGACCCGGTATATAATTTAATTAATCGCTCATTGATTAAATACACCAAACCGATACGTGGTTTTTATTCGCCCGGAAAATTCAATTACATATTGAATTTAAATTTCAAGCATATCCGGGTGCGGTGTCACAAGTTCACCCCCCCTTAACGGGAATTTCGTCCCCGAAATTCACAACTGCTTGGTTGAATAGAATGCAAATTGTCCCTTCATCAAGGCTCCCATTTCCCCCCAATTTCCTTTCTCAGCTCGGTCACCTTTCCACGGGATTTTGACCATTGAGACTTTCTTGCTTCGAGCTTTACTTGCCTAGCAAGTATCCTTATCGGTCGTAAAGCATAGTCCAGTCCTCGCGTATTTCCATGGGTGGTCCCTCTAACACGTGAGACGGATCTGACATATATTTCCTAAACATAGCCACGTGAAACACGTTATGTACCTTCTCCAATTTTGGAGTCGACCCCAAACGGTCTGTTACCGCCCCAACTCTCTCAAGAGTTACAAATGGCCCGATGTATCGTGGGGAGACCATCGTCTCTCCCTGAAATCCTCCACCGATCCCGCTAGCATGCGTTCTCGGACCTTCATTAATTCTTTGGGAGTTTCCTGACCCTTCTTGATCTCATCAAGTAAACTAGGTCCTACTCAAATTGTGTATATTAGGCACCATCGCTAGATACCTCCAATTGGGCTATTAATGCCCTCAACCAAGTTAGACAATACTGTATGGTAGTTCTTCATCAACTCCATTCCCTCGTGGCTTCAAGCCACGCTCATCTATTTTACTTCGTCATGCTAGAGGCTTCCTCTAGCCATGTATTATCGTGCTAGAGGTTTACTCTAGTCACTCCACTTGGTGTTAGAGGCTTCCTCTAATCACCTTACATACGTGTGCTGGAGGCTTCCTCCAGTCACATAACGTTATTGTAAAGGTTTACTCTAGTCACCTTACATTACGCTAGAGGCTTCCTCTAGTCGCCCTACATGAATGCTGGAGGCTCCCTCCGGTCACTCCTCATCGTGCTAGAGGCTTCCTCTAGTCATGATACTAGTTCACTAAGCAAATTCTATGCTTAGAGTCCCTCTACTATGAGTGGCCTTTGAGGCCTACTCCTAACGTAACTTAGTAGTTACCCATTCCTACATTAAGACATCTCATAAGACTACTTAAGGTGCATCTTTCACAATCCAAGCCCTTAGGATTTGCTCTATCACCTCTCATACTAACATTTTCGACTCGTAATCCCATACTAGTCAAATAACCCTCGAAGGTATTGTTGCTCCTCGGGGTCGATCAAACAAGCCATCAATCCTAGGCAAAGGGTATCTATTCTTGATTGTGACCTTGTTCAGGTGACGATAGTCAATACATATTCGAAGTGTCCCATCTTTCTTTTTCACGAAAGGAACCGGTGCTCCCCACGGGGAGTGGCTTGGTCTAATGAAACCGTTATCCAAAAGCTCTTGCAATTGGGTTTTCAACTCGTTAAGTTCTGCGGGTGCCATTCGGTATGGCGGTATGGAGATTGGTTTTGTGCCGGGCTCGACCTCGATCACGAATTCAATCTCCCTATCGGGTGGGAGTCCCAGTAAGTCTTTTGGGAAGACGTCCGGATACTTGCACACCACCTTCACATCGTTGATGTTTGTCTCTTCTTTGGTCTTGTCCACCACATACGCTAGATATGCGTGACATCCCTTCCTCATCATATTCTTAGCTCTCACGGCGGACATGATACAACTATTGGATTTTGCCCTATCCCCCTCGAAACGTAAGGTTGCCCCTTTACCGCTTTCGAGTTCAAGCACTCTCGTGTAGCAATCGACCCTAGCATGATGCTTCTCAAGCCAATCCATCCCCTAGATTGCATCGAACTCCATCATACTCAGCGGTACGAGATCGCACGACAAGCTTTGGCCCCCCACTTCCACCTCTCACGATGGATAGTGGCTATCTCTCTCGATGTCTTCCCCTAGAGGTGTGGACACCAATAGGGCTTGAGCTATCGGTACAAATGGTTCATTGACTCCCCCGGCAACCGCCTCACTCACAAATGATCGGCGCGCCCCGGTGGCAATAGGGATTCTTGCAGCTCTCCCATTAATCTTTGATGTTCCTACATCCGTAAGCCATGTAAGAAACACTCCCAACTTAAGAGACTCATTTCTTAGGTTATAGAGTACCCCGGCTATGGTTTGGATGATCGTCATCTAACGCCCCATCCCGATTCCATCCCGGTTCCCACCTAAAAATCAACACTGTACACCAGTAAGCGAAAGCCGGCCGCTTTTCGTGAAAGCCGGCCGGTTTTCGTACCTTGGCCTTCGACTCGGAATGACTGGTTACGGAAGCCGGCCGGTTTCCGCCAAAGCCGGCCGGGTTTCTGTCGCCGAAAGAATTCCCAAATTTTAATTCCTAAAAGCCGGCCGGTTCTTACGAATGCCGGCCGGTTTTCGTTAACAGCGCCTCACACCGGAGATGCCTGAACACAAGCCGGCCGGTTTTTACGAAACTCGGCCGGTTTTCCTCCGCCGAATGATTTTAACAAAAATCAAGTACGAAAGCCGGGCGGCTTTCGTCAAAGGCGGGCGCCTTATGGCCGCCGTAGGATTTTGCAAATAATTCGAGAGCGGAAGCCGGGCGGCTTCCGTCAATGCCGGGCGGCTTTTGTCCCAGGTGGATATTTATCCACTCCTTCGGACTTGCACAGCCCGGTTGGCTATACAACGTGAACATTTCAACACTTATATTGTTCACACAAGGATTAATGTCAAAAGTTTAAGGAATTACCCGCAACGGAGTCCGGACTGGCACGAGCGTCCGCTCCCGTCATTGCATAGACCCTGGTTGGATCTTCCCTTGGTTCATCGATGGTGCGTTGCTTGTGCTAGCTCCACCATGCCCTATGCTTGCATGAGGTGCCCTATCCCGGTTCCTACTAGCCGTGGTTGCACCACTCAGCCTCGATCCCCGGTTCTTACCAATTTGAGGGCAATCCATTTTCATGTGTCCTGCCTCCCCACATTGATAGCATTTAGGGGGATCGCGACACGTGCCCGTGTGGTTCTTCTTGCAGTTGCGACACCTTGGCATCGTCGAGGCGTATGACCCCGAGTGTTGTCCTCCCATGCTTGAGTTTCCTCGAGATGGTGTTGCGGATGTCATAAATGATTCTCCTCCCCCGTGGTTCCCCCTTTTGCTAGAACCTTGGGTGTCATGGCTTTCCCATTTCCTTCTCTTCGCCTCCTCGGCGTTTCTCTTCTTCCTTTCCTCCCACTGTTTTTCTCCCTTGAGGCCCTGGTCAACCACTTGGGCGAAAGTCATGTCAGGCAATTGTGTTGCCCTCTCACGTATCTCCAAGTCTAGAGCATCCCAAAAGTGGTTCACCATCCGGTTCTCGTCACATATGTACTCAGGTATGAATTTGGCAAGCTTTCTGAACTTGTGCTCAAGTTCCTTCACCGTGCATGCGCCCCCTTGGGTCAAGTTTGTATACTCTCTCCTCTTCATATTCACCCATGAGGGCGGGCGTGTACGGCGATAGGGCTTCAGCTGTCCTCGCCGGCCGGCAAAGGGAACCGCAAATCCACCATAAATCATCCGGCAGCTTACAGGGCAACACATCAGCCGCGCTGGGGAAAGAGGGACTGTCGTTTCTTCAATCGCGTCTGTCCATAGACCACATGGGCGACGAACCATCAGCTCTCAACTGGCGGCTACAGGGGCGACGCTTCAGCGACTCAGGTTTTGATTTCAGAACACGTCAGCCGCCGCGAGTCAAGGGAGACCGAAATCAAGCCAGTCGCAGGGATACATCACAGGTAACTAGCTCGACTAGAGGTAGTTCCCCTAGAGCTACTAAGGATGAACATTGGGGCTTCGGTAAATCTTTTAGGATTGAAAGTAAACATTTCTATTTTGAAATCATTGATTCAACTGCTCTACAAATTATTGAATCAAAGGGGCGTTTTTCTTCTTCAATCATCCTCAACCTCGAAGGAGCTATTTGGCTTAGGGAATCATTATTATCCATTGGAATTGGAAAGAGGTCTTTTACTCATTTGGAGAATTCCAGGTCTTTTAAATTGTCTTATGAACATAATTTCTGTGGAGGCTTTGTTCGAATTATTGAACCTGGGAATTCTTTTACTTCACTTTGCATTCCAGAAGGCTGGAGAAGGTCGGGTTTTTCATTCTTTGAGTCTGAAATCTCTCATGCAATTAGGGTCTTGAAAGAAGTAAATCCTAAATTGCTAATGAATTGTCAAAGTGAACCCGGAATTCAAAGCAAATCCGACAAAAGCGGGTCTATCAATTTAGACGAGCTACAATTGGACAAAACGGAGTGTATTTGTTCAGATATCTCTATCTCTGATTTGTTATTCCAATCGGATATTGTTAACTTACCTGCTTGGGAGTTTCCAAGTCAAACAGAAAAGGCATCAACACTTTCAGCTATGGATATTCATTTCCAACACATGCAGTCCTTTATGCTACAGATTGATTCAGAGATTCAGAAATTAAATGATAAATGGGAGCAGCAACAACATCGGGATCTGCCTAAGCTTTTGCAGGAGGTTTCCATGGATGTGTTTGACAAGGTTTCTAAACAAAAAATGATTTTATCGAGTTCTTCTTCCCCTGATTTTCTTCTTTTGCAGGAATTCTTTGTTGAGACACTCGAGGAAGGAATGGTTAAAAGGGCCATTTCAAAAGTTGGGGAAGACACTTTAGATGATTTTTTGCACGCTCTTGATAGCGATGGGGTAGGTTTATATTTCCTCTTTGATGCTGCATCAGACTATCTAGAAGAAAAATACTCAGATCGCTCTACTACAGACAGATTCCTTTACTCAATTCTAAAGAAAGTGACTCCAGGTACAACCGGCCTTACACGGAAAAACTTTAAACATCTTATGCGTAACTCGGGACCACATCAAATTCTAAAATACAAGCTACTCAAAGATTACCCTACCTACAAGGAATCTCCTATTTACAAGGATGCACTGATTGAACCTCAACCCGAGGAAGATGATGGTTTCACCTCTGTTGTCTCCAGAAGAGACAAAAAGCGTAATGTCCCCTCGGTTAGGACCGTTCAATCTCGACAACAATTTATATGAGCTTAGGATGCTTTTGGGAGTTTCTCAGGGATTTTATGACAGGGAAGTGGGCTGATCTTCCTACGCTCTGGGATTTCTATAGCTTGAGGATTTTCTATGGAACCGGAATAGTCTCAACCAGCTCTAAATCTTTTTTCCTTTGCACCATCTTTTTTCATTAGTTGTTTACTTCATTAGCTCTTGTCTCTCATTATTGTCGGAGTTCAGTCCAATTTGGCTGAACTCACATTGGGGATTGTACTTTAACTTCTCTTTTAATAAAAGCCTTTTCTTGTTAAAAAAAAAAAAAAAAAAAAAAAAAAAAAAAAAAAAAAAAAAAAAAAAAAAAAAAAAAAAACACCCACGCACGCACGCATGCACACACACGCACACACACACACGCCCACACATGCCCACACCCATGCACGGCCACACGCTCGCACGCACGCACGCTCCCACACACGCCCACATGGCCGCACGCATGCACACACGCACACACGCACGCCCACACACCCACACACATACACCCAAGCACGAACGCCCGCACGCACGCCCGCACGGACACACCCACGCATGCCCACACACACGCCCACAAGCAAGCCCACACACGCCCCCCCCCCCCCCACACAAGCACGCCGCCCGCCCGCTAACGCCCGCACACACACCCACACACACACACCCACACACACACGCCCGCCCACGCCCGCACGCACACACACACACATGCACGCACGCCCACACGCCCACACACGCACGCACACGCCCACCCACCCACACACACCCAAGCATGCACGCACGCCCGCACGCCCACGCCCGCCTGCCTGCCCGCCCGCCCATGCCTGCACGCACACACACACCCATACACACACATGCAGGCACCCACGCACGCCCACACACACGCCTCCACATGCCCCCACACACAACCACACAAACACACGCGCGCGCGTGCGCACCTACGCATGCGCCTACGCACGCCCGCACGCCCACACGCCCACACACCCAAGCACGCACGCACGCCCACGCCTACACGCACGAACATACACACACATATACACACGCATGGACGCACCCACACACGCCCAGCCCGCACACGAACGCACGCCCACACGCACGCCCACACACACGCCCAGCCCGCACACGAACGCACGCCCACACGCATGCCCACACGCACCCGCTCCCACACGCCTGCACACACACACGCGCGCGCCCGCAAGCACGCACGTTCGCACACGCCTCCACACGCCCCCCCACACCCACCCACCCACCCACACACACACACACGCACGCACGCACGTACGCCCGCCCCGCCCCGCCCGCACACGCACACGCACGCATGCGCACGCGCACGTACCCACGCACGCACCCACGCACGCCCACACACCCACACGCCCGCACACACACACACACACCCACGCACGCACGCACACACACACACATGCCCACACCCACGCACGCCCACACGGCCACACGCCCGCACGCACCCACGCACCCACACGCCCACACACCCACACACATACACACACACCCAAGCACGCACGCACGCACGCCCACACCTGTACGCACGCGCACACACACCCATACACACGCACGGACGCACCCACGCACGCCCACACACGCCCTCCCCCCACACACCCACACACCCACACACACACACACACACACGCACGCCCCACACGGCCGCACGCACGCACACACTCACGCACGCCCACACGCCCACACACCCACACACATACACACACACCCAAGCACGCCCACACACCGCCCGCCCACACCTGCACGCACGCCACACACACACACACCCATACACACGCACGGACGCACCCACGCACGCCCACACACACGCCCACAAGCAAGCCCACACACGCCCCCCCCCCACACACCCACACACACACACACACACACACACACACACACACACACACACACACGCCGCCCGCACGCCCCGCCTGCCTGCTCGCCCACTAACGCCCGCACACACGCACGCCCACACACGCCCACACACACACCCACCCACACACGCCCACACACCCACACACATACACACACACCTAAGCACGCACGCACGCCCACCTACACCTGCACGCACACACACACACGCACGCACACACGCACGCCCACACGCACGCCCACACACGCAAGCCCACACACGCCCCCCCCTAACACACACACACACACGTCGCCCGCACTCCCGCCCGCCTGCTAACGCCCGCACACGCGCACCGCACGCACACGCACACACCCGCACACACACACAAACACACACACACACAAGCATGCACGCACGCCCGCCTGCTCGCAAGCACGGACGCCCGCACACGCCTCCACACGCCCCCCACACACCCACACACCCACACACACGCACGTACGCCCGCCCGCCCGCACACACGCACGCGCACACGCACGTACCCACATACGCCCGCACACCCACACGCCCGCACACACACACACATGCACGCACGCATGCACACACACACACACACACACACGCACGCACGCACACACACGCCCACACCCATGCACGGCCACACGCCCGCACGCACGCACCCACACACGCCCACACGCCCACACACCCACACACATACACACACACCTAAGCACGCACGCCCACGCCTGTACGCACGCGCACACACACCCATACACACGCACGGACGCACACGCACCCCCCACACCCACCCACACACACACACGCACGCACACACGCACGCAAGGCCGCACGCACGGCCGCCCGCACGCACGCCCACATGCACGCCCACACGCACGCCCACACGCACGCCCATACGCACGCACACCACGCACGCCCACACACGCCTCCACACGCCCCCCCCCCCCTCCACACGCACGTACGTCCGCCCGCCCGCACGCACGCACTCGCACGCGCACGTACCCACGCACTCACGCACCCACGCACGCCCACACACCCACACGCCCGCACACACACACACACACCCACGCACGCACGCATGCACACACACACACACACGCACCCACGCCCACACACGCCCACACCCATGCACGGCCACACGCCCGCACGCACGCACCCACCCACACACGCCCACACACCCACACACATACACACACACCTAAGCACGCACGCACGCCCACCTACACCTGCACGCACGCACACACACGCACGCACACACGCACGCCCACACGCACGCACGCCCACACACGCCTCCACACGCCCCCCCACACCCCCCCCCCACACACACACGCATGCACGTACGCCCGCCCGCACACACGCACGCACGTGCACGCGCACGTACCCACGCACGCACCCACCCACGCACGCCCACACACCCACACGCCCGCACACACACACACACCCACGCACGCACGCATGCACACACACGCACACACACACACGCCCACACACGCCCACACCCATGCACGGCCACACGCTCGCACGCACGCACGCTCCCACACACGCCCACATGGCCGCACGCACGCACACACGCACACACGCACGCCCACACACCCACACACATACACCCAAGCACGAACGCCCGCACGCACGCCCGCACGGACACACCCACGCATGCCCACACACACGCCCACAAGCAAGCCCACACATGCCCCCCCCCCCCCCCCCACACAAGCACGCCGCCCGCCCGTTAACGCCCGCACACACACCCACACACACACACCCACACACACACGCCCGCCCACGCCCGCACGCACACACACACATGCACGCACGCCCACACGCCCCACACACGCACGCACACGCCCACCCACCCACACACACCCAAGCATGCACGCACGCCCGCACGCCCACGCCCGCCTGCCTGCCCGCCCGCCCATGCCTGCACGCACACACACACCCATACACACACATGCAGGCACCCACGCACGCCCACACACACGCCTCCACATGCCCCCACACACAACCACACAAACACACGCGCGCGCGTGCGCACCTACGCATGCGCCTACGCACGCCCGCACGCCCACACGCCCACACACCCAAGCACGCACGCACGCCCACGCCTACACGCACGAACATACACACACATATACACACGCATGGACGCACCCACACACGCCCAGCCCGCACACGAACGCACGCCCACACACACGCCCAGCCCGCACACGAACGCACGCCCACACGCATGCCCACACGCACCCCGCTCCCACACGCCTGCACACACACACGCGCGCGCCCGCAAGCACGCACGTTCGCACACGCCTCCACACGCCCCCCCCCACACCCACCCACCCACACACACACACGCACGCCACGCACGTACGCCCGCCCGCCCGCCCGCACACGCACACGCACGCATGCGCACGCGCACGTACCCACGCACGCACCCACGCACGCCCACACACCCACACGCCCGCACACACACACACACACCCACGCACGCACGCACACACACACATGCCCACACCCACGCACGCCCACACGGCCCACACGCCCGCACGCACCCACGCACCCACACGCCCACACACCCACACACATACACACACACCCAAGCACGCACGCACGCACGCCCACACCTGTACGCACGCGCACACACACCCATACACACGCACGGACGCACCCACGCACGCCCACACACGCCCTCCCCCCACACACCCCACACACCCACACACACACACACACACACACGCACGCCCACACGGCCGCACGCACGCACACACTCACGCCCGCCCACACGCCCACACACCCACACACATACACACACACCCAAGCACGCCCACACACCGCCCGCCCACACCTGCACGCACGCCACACACACACACCCCATACACACGCACGGACGCACCCACGCACGCCCACACACACGCCCACAAGCAAGCCCACACACGCCCCCCCCCCCCCCACACACCCACACCCCCACACACACACACACACACACGCCGCCCGCACGCCCGCCTGCCTGCTCGCCCGCTAACGCCCGCACACACGCACGCCCACCACACGCCCACACACACACCCACCCACACACGCCCACACACCCACACACATACACACACACCTAAGCACGCACGCACGCCCACCTACACCTGCACGCACGCACACACACGCACGCACACACGCACGCCCACACGCACGCACGCCCACACACGCACGCACGC